TTATTTCTCGCACTCAAATTCGCATTCACGAATCGAAGCTTTGCCAGATCTGCTCTGGAATCTTCTCAAATCATCTGGAATGCGTGCAGAGGGGTAGTCGGACTTGCGTGGCGATGCACTCTGCATTCCCCGAGTTCCTGGCGACCGCGACGAATCCATAGGTGTCGTGCAAGTCCCGTACTTCCGGCGGCATTTTCAAATTCTCGCCCGCAAGAAAAACTTGTTAATAATGTTTCTTTTGTTATCGATCCAAATCAATCCATCTCGAGCCCGTATTCATTTATCGATTTCTTCCTGAATGTCGATGACTGATGATATGTAACTTTCGATCTTGACGTGATCGAATTTTTTTCGAACGAATTTTATTTTCATGCTTAGAGATGTACGTAAATGTATAAGTTTAAAAAAATTCGATATAGTAATTCAAACGATATTCTGACATTTTGTGTGTTTTCTTGATTTAACAAACACACGGAAGTTCGCGAATTATGGTTTTATTATGTGATGAAAGAAGCACGTTGTTACTTGACAAATTAGGCTGATAGAGTATCTTTAAGTATCTCTAAGTTTCGTTTAATTAAATCATCGATTTGTACAGTACATATAAATATTTTTATAATTTGTTTTTATAGCTTCATGAAAAACTTGTCATTCGAAAAGCGATAATCTACAACGGGATTTTCAGAGCACGAAACGGCACGGCAATTGGATAATAAAAAATGTCAATATTACTGTGTCTAGCTTTATCGCGAAGATTTTTGACTAGATCATCACTACAGAATCTACGCGAGTGAATTAAAGGACAAGCGTGCCGCACATTTCCATCCGTTCGACAAGATAAATCTCGAGCAAGGTGAAAACAAAAGAAGATAAACTTTACTTTTTTTCGAACGATACCTTTTACGCAGAGAGGAAAAAGACGAGTTTTAGACAATCACACTCGCGCAAATTGATATGTAACGAAATATTTATGTTTCGTATGTACATAGTTTTCATTCTTGTCGAAGCATAACCTGACTGTCGTCGAGGCTAACTTGAATTAATTTTTATGCAGCAACATAAATTGATATTGTGCTGAAAGCGAAGAACTGAGTTTCTGAAAAGATGACTCAGTTGGAGTTGGATCCTCAATTCACGCAGGGATTGCGACTCCTGTACTCCACCAACAAGGATTCTGCAGAGCAGCTGCGAGCTCTATTAGATGAGGCGATTAAACAGAAGTATGGACCATCCAAAATGCTTTCCAATGTGCTGCACAAAAAGGTATGATTATCCCGTGACATGAAACAAAAATGGTTCTAAATTTATCTATTTGTTATTCAGTACATGATGGAAGAACCAGTGTTGAGCGATCACAGTAGTAGTAGCAGTAAGAAGAGTAAGAGTTCCAGCTCATCTAAGCACTCGAGTAAATCAAGCAAGAACAGCTCCCCAGTTAATTTACCAGCGCGTGACACTCCACCAGACATTCTGCAATCGGACGATACGCTGGCGCTGGAAATTCTAGAGGATGATCTTACGTGTGTCATTTGCAAGGGAATGGATGTCGGGGCGAGAAATAGGCTCGTGGAATGTCAAGAATGTCATTCTTTGTATCATCAAGAGTGCCATGTTCCACATATTTTAGACTCGCAGATAGATAACGTTCCGAAACAAGTATGGTACTGCTCTAACTGTCCAAAGTCTCAGGTGTGTGTATTCACCCACTTTTACAATTTTTTGAGAATATTTTATATATCATTTCGTTTACTCATGAAAAATCTATTGTTATCATTAATTAATCATTATTAATGAATTTATATTTCAAATAAGATAATTCTATTTTATTCCCTACTTAATGCGAATTTTTACTATAAAAATATCCTATTTTCTGACTGTAATTATGTTAAATTATCACAACAGACATGAGAAATTTTTTCTTTGCATTATACATTAAAATAATTAATTTTTGGTATGTTATTACATTTGATAGAGACGTGAAGCACCTATCAAAGATCTCATCAATTTGTAAATATTGGCAAATAATTCTGTAAATCTTGATCAATTGTTATAAGATCATTTTTTGAAAACATGGAGGATATGTAAATTAAATCGTGCATTTATTAATGTGAGATAAAAGAATTATTTTAAATCAAACATTAATGTAAAACATATCATGACAAAAATGATTTATTTCAACATGTATAAAAAAATTTTTGCTTCTAATATCATAATTCGATATGGCTGCAGTGAGAAAACCGAATTTTCATAGTAATTATTATAATTTTTAGGTCTCGAAAGAAAGGAATTCACCAAAGACTGTAACAGAAAGCAAATCTAAAGAGCAGAAAAAATCTAGCTCAAGTAAATACAGCGTATATTTTTATTGATACATGTGTGTGAAGTTAGTCATTAAACTAACACTGTTAATCTTCGTAGGTAGTGGAGCTAAGATGACACCAAATATTCATATTATTAGCGCAGATAGAAGATTGAAAGATATGATGAAGAAAGCTAAGCAGGACAAACGTAATACAAGTACTGCCACGAGTTCAAAGAGCTCTTCATCCAGTTCCCCTGCATTATCCTCGGCCAAATCTTCTCAGGATAAATCAGGATTATATATAAAATAAAATCAAGGATAGAATAAACTAACTTGTAAAAAAAAAAATAGCAAACCAATAAGATCGTATATAAGTTGTAATTTGTAGAAATAATATGAAATGATTTGTAATTATTTTGTAATTAATTTTGTTAATCTGAGTTAATCTGAGTTAATCCGAAAGGACTACAATTTTTATTATTATATTTTTATGAAGTACTAAATAGTCCATTGTTAAAGTAGTCGACAAGTAAAATCTGGATTTATCATCCTATATATGTACGACATTAAGAATTTTGATTCGAAAAATATTCTCACTCTAATACACAGTGTATGTACAAGATCTGAAGACATGGTAGTGTCTCGGCGCTAAGACAAGTGCATGTGTTTATATGGAAACGTTTTAAAACGAAGAAGGAAGGTTTTATTATTATTTTTTATGAATATATTTTCATAAGATCAGAGAAAGTAAAAGTCGCGTTCCTTTATGATAAAGACAAAACCTAAATAGATGATATCACACTAATGTGTATTTATATTGAAGTTTAATCTCGAATTACATTCAATCGATATTAATACAATTGGGCCTTTGTGTATGTCTGAATTTCTTACTGCCTATATAAATACAATTCCATATTATACAATTTATTAATAAATGTACAAATGTGCCATGTAAATTTGTTATCTTTAAGCTTTCGCATTATTATTACAAAAATATTAAGTATGTAGAAAATAATGACATAATATTACTATCGCTAATAATTATTACACACGTAACATCATTCGTAATACAAGTCTGCGTTGATAGTTTTAATGTAAATATACAATAGAGCATTTTTTAATACCTTTTTATTGAGATATTTATAAAAGGAAAGCGATAAAATTATATAAACTTCACATATATATCTCAAGATTGTGTGTTAATTGTACTATTATATATATATATATGTATGTATATATATATATATATATATATATATATATATATATATATTTATATTTATATATAGAGCATATACACAATTTTTTCGTCACTGAAATCAACTCGCGAATCACGTACGCTAATTTATTATTGGCGTAACGATGTAACATCGATGCCGAAATTGATGTTAGTGTTAAAAATGCACAGTGGAAAACTATAACACACGCGCCAAGTAGGTTCTACTGTATACAAGATATACATGTAAACTCGTGTATCCGCGAATGCGGAGGTGATTTAGTTGCGACATACAAGAACAAATTAACATAACGACTTACGTAACGACAACTTGAAGAGTTTTGGACTGGATAGAATATTTTCGAAAAGTTCACGTTTTGCGTATCCATATATTTATAGTAATGATATTTAAATCTTAGTGCATCAACAAGCTGTGATAATTTTACACGAGCGCTGTTTTATGTGCCCGTATAATTACAATAAATTCTTTACAAAGATTCTCCAGAAGAAAATTTTGAAACTCAAAGTCGACGAAGGATCAGAGAGGACAACTGTGTATCTTGAAACGAGGTGAAAATTATAAATGAAAAGTGAACAAATTTACTAAGTGTTAACCAATGAAATTATAAATCCTAGTAAATTCGCTCACTTTTGTAATATTCACCTTGTTTCAAGATTGACACGTTTGAATTAGAGAAGATCGACCATCTTCTTTATATGTCCCTCTGCGGATATTTGGATGAATGGTTGTAACGACTCAAATTATAGGACACGTTCCTAATCCGTAAGACTGTCCTAATCGTAAGGCTGATAGCAAGTTTATACAGCCGAGACTGCGGGTGGGCAAAAATAACGAAGAGATAAAGAGATACCAGTCATTTATAATACCAATATATTTCTTGCGATTTTCGTTTTAAATGCAATTAATCATTTGTCCCTACGTCCCATCAAGAATTTGGCAAGAATCATTTCGTTCTCTCGAGTGTCACTTAAAATCTACTCGTGCGCGAGATAAGGGGGGGAGGATGGGTTGAAGTACTATATACAATGAAGAGAAAGAGAGAAAAAGGACTCGTGAGGGGTTGAAATTGCACATACACATGAATACAATATACACGCATTCCCGCGCATATGAGCGTAAGAGCATTGTTGCGCTTAATTTGATGAACAGAGGGCAGACTTTTCTCCGTCTTTTAATAGCAATCAAGGTTGGTCAATGTAATAAGACGGTCAATGTCTTTTTTGCAATTTTGAACAATTTGTTCTAAAAAAAATGTATATTTTTTTTCTAGGACGCTAATTTAGAACAAAACAAAGATATAATTGTTCAATATCGGTCAATTATTAATTATGTGAGCTTTCAAACAAGAAAGAAGGATGCAGTTCACTTGGCATTACAAATGTTTCGAAGCATTTGCAATATCAAATGACTTAGTGGAAGCTACGTTTAGCAGATAAACGACATAATTGGTATGAAATTCTATAATATAATTGGTCGCGTTCAACAGAATATTTATGATGCTTTTCAACAAGAAACAAAGTGGGAATTTTCTGTTTAATGACACAAGTTGACACAAATATTCTCTCTTTCTTGATATTCAGAGAATAAAGATAGAAGAACGTTTGAACCGACTTGTGCCATTATAAATAGAAAACTCCCATCAAGTAGAAATCATCTATTGTAAATTGTAACACTGATTATTTCGGCTTCGTTTAACATTGACAAATAACAAAGATGATTTTGCTGAAAAGCACCTTTTTTTGTTTGGAAGTTTTTTTTCTTCACATTGATTGGATTATACTTTTAGCTCTAGAGGAATAATCCTATCTCAGCGAAGAAAACTTCCAAGTTGCAAAATAAACATTCTGCTAAACTATTGATCTTGCCCTTAGTTATTCTGGATTTAAATGAATAAACCAATCATAAAAAGTTACAACAGCTAAAAACCTACTTTCTCTGTTAAATGCAGCCAATGTAATACAGTAAATTATTACATTCTTGTTTACTAATGTTAAAGTTGAAATGACTGTGTTACACTATGTTTCTTGCTGGAAAAAAAATCATATATTATCCCAGCAATGATTTAAAAAAGATCCAATTGAAATACGCGCTATTTCAATTGGGGATTTCCCGGAAAATATAAAAGAGAAATGTCTTTAAGGGGAAAAATTATCAGGATCATCTCTTCCTTTCTCTTTCTCTCTTTCTCTCGTTGAAGCTTAACAAAGAGTAATCTTAACTCGACACACGATGTGTTCAGATTTATCTATATATATATATTTATCTATATATATACTACGAAGCATGACACACTAATTTCGCCCCCATCAGACGCCACGAATCGCCTCTTCTCAGTCCGTTATGTTATTAATTATAAACGTTGAATGCAGAATTGACAAGCTTTTCAGTTGGATGGAGTCGACTTCCGATCGTACGGCCCGCTGGGAAGCTCTGCCGCGTGCTTTCTTGGTATTTATTTTAAGATGCTCACACAAGACGGTTCTCCATCTTTATAGCCGGCGTTTTAATAAAATATTCAGCGGACATCGCGTATAGAGGTGGCGTCAATATTTCACCATTCGCTCTCCTCCGACACACACACACACACACACACACACACACACACACACACACACACACACACACACACACACACACA